ATAGTGATACGACTGTCAGGGGGTGGGAGGATAGTGATACGACTGTCAGGGGATGGGAGAATAGTGATACGACTGTCATGGGAGGGAAGATCGTGATACAACTGTCAGGGGGAGGATCGTGATACAACTGTCAGGGGGTGTGAGGATAAATTGTAACACATTTAATTAGTTTTGGTAATTTTCAGTTTTTCAAATAACCAACAATTTCCATGTCCTATGCGTTTACTTTATTCATTCATACTCAGTGCTTTAGATTCTTGGTTACGATTATTTTCCGGTGGACCCTGGATAAATAACGACATTCTTCGAGTTACATTTATCAGAATCTTGGCAAAGGATTCCAAATCCAATAGACTTGATCATCGTTTGGAAGTTGTTCTTTAGAGCCAGTTGAACAGCACCATCGTTTGCATCTCCTTTATAGTAGTACCCTTGAGAAAGAGTGGGCCCTCTACGAACTTCAGTTAAAACAAAAATAAGTTAGAGTTATTATGTAAAGCCAAGAAGCAAATTATTTCGTTCGCTTGGATAAATTGATTCTTAAAAATGGCTTTTAGTTATTCCTTCCTTCCCTGCTTCCACATTTCCATACTTTCTTACTCCCTTCTCTCTTTTTTCTTTCCTTCCTTCCCTCCCTCCTTCCTTCCTTCCTTCCTTCCTTTTATTCTTCTCTCTTTTTTGGTATGTGAGAAGGAGGTAAGGGCTATAAGCTGCCATCCTCTTCCTCCATCCCAACACTAAAGTGAGTTTTGTCTAGATCATGGCTATCATTCTTACCCGAACAATCAGGCACTCTTTGACTAGCGACACCAATACCTGACCAAACTCCCTGCTGACTACACAAATATATCAAGTTTGGCCAAAAAGCAAAATCATAACCACTTTGACAAGTAGCTACACAAAACCTGTCGGGGAAATCAGGTCCAACATTGCATAACAGAGCACCATTTGCTGGACGACTTAGTTTTGGGCAAGGCACCACTGTGATCAAGAAAGCAAAGACACAAGGTAAGATAGTAAAATAATTTGCTCTAGTTGAAAGATTTTCCCTTAGAGCAATTTTAAATATCTATTTAAAGTATATTTAAGTGAAACATAGTCAAAAATATTTAAAATCCTATCATCTTAAGCTTTGAAATTTCGTCCGCCATGATGGTGTACCAACTTGGAACACCAAGATTGCCGCTCCATACATTTTAACCAAAAATTGCGTCATGTTTACTCGCCTCTAGTTTCGCAACGAATAGCGAATAGTTTCGAAATTTGGCCAGAATATGTAGTTTTGGCCGCTTTACAAGATTATGAAACTTTTATTTCATTATACACCTTTTGCTGTTCATTAACAGAAAATGTACATTCATTTGTGCCAATAGTTGTATCAATAACGTGTAATGTACTTTCACCAACACCACAAGTAACTTCATTAGCGCGGGTCAACTTTCAATAACGATATTTGAATATGCGTGTACATTCATGGACATCAATGGACAATCAATAGCGCGTTTGTACATGAGTCATATGCGCGGAATGTATTTTCTTGTGCGCGCAATTTAACTTCAATAACATGAATTGCCAAACAGTTGCATTTATTGACAATCATTTACCTAAAAGTGAAAATTCATTAGTGCTATTAGCATAACCATTGACAATCTATAACGCGTTTGGACAATCATGAGCATCAATGTAGCATTCTTTAACGTGGCTCGACAAACATTTGCATGATTCAAATAAACATTAAGAGAAAAAAAGCAATCATTTGCGTTTTTCTTTATTCAGCATTCTTTTAAAAAGTTGTCTCCAAAAWWTMACAATTCACAAAAAAATTGAAATTGCGTAATTGTTGGATGAACCTGGCTAAAAACAAACACGGAACGATCAGTGTAGATTTAACTTGCACTATGAGTGAATATGCTATTAACGTTGCTATCACCCCAAGTAATGATCTAGAGGATAAATACCTTAACAGATACCGAAAGGGTTTTGGAGATGGTGTTGCTAGCTATCGCTCAACAACCTTTTTAATCGTGCCTATGACATCGACTTTTTTTATCGTTCCTATGACATGATATCGATCATGGTGATTTGCAAAGCCGCACAATGACTTCGGCTTACTCAAATACCGACTGGATCTTGCACAATCCTACCACTTCTCAAGGTTGAGCGCTATTCCTGGACACTGCTATTTCCGTTGTTCTCYGACTCATGACCATACACGACAATCTGCCTTATATCTACACGTACGTACCTTTCCTTTTAACGGTAATCTTGAACTTGCATGTTGCAATATTGTCAGAATCGTCTTTCGCGATATACTCCACATTAAACGTTCGACCAGCCATTACTTGCATCCCATTAAGGAAATTTCCCATCACAATTGGGACACGCCCAGAGTTGTCAACAGCAATAGGCTCTTTCCAAATTACGCGAACCTGGTATTCAAACGTCTCTACAACCTTATCACTTGGACAAAACGTGAACTTTGGTGGCTCTATGTCTGGAGACAAAACTAATTTAAAACACTCAAAATTAATGTCAAAGAGCACAAAAAGTTAAAGTTAATGTTAAGAGTACTAAACACAGCGTATTTATATAATAACCCGCAGGAGTTTTGGGAAAAGACGACAGATAAATCATTATTTGGCATTGTCGCAGTGACCTCAGAGAGGACACGCAGTTACTGCTATAGCTCTACTGCTTTTTTTCAACATAAAACATCAGTTGCGATCGCGCCATCTCTCCCTTTAAAAGCCTCTTTCGTGAGGTTTTCTCTACACGCACTACCAYAACATTCAATATTTACAACACAACACGATACTTGGCTCACAGTTGACTTTTACGTGTCAAGAGAGAGAGCAACACATCAAACACATTCATGATCACATATGTGGTTCAGTCGGGACTCCAACCCGTAGAACCTTATTCAAATGCTTTAACCCTACCCCAGTCCCTGGATAGTCTTCAGATTTAACAAATCTAAAGGTTTTTAGTTACCTGCACTTTCGCAGTTTACCACTAGAATGATAAAACATAGCATAAATGTTACCACTTCCATTTTGATCCGTTGAATCAATCTGACCATGTACGCTGCTCTTCGCGGTTAATAACCTAATATTCGTGTAATATGTAAATAATCTCGTTGGCTGATTTTATGCATTAATCTACCAATAGGATTATTTGGACAAAGGCTATCCAATCACAACCATCCTTATGTTATGTGATTTAATCATGACCAAAAATAAAAAATATTGATCATATTCAGCTGTTCAAATTACAAATTCTAAGCAAGTGAACCAAGATTGATTAGCTGTAGGCATCCATGGCATTTAATATCTCTATTGATGCAGCTGTTTCATTTTGGAATAGCGTGGTTTTCATAAGCCCAGCCCGTGAAATACGCTTTAGCTTATTTATTACTACTACACCTTTTGCTGTTCATTAACAGAAAATGTACATTCATTTGTGCCAATAGTTGTATCAATAACGTGTAATGTACTTTCATCAACACCACAAGTAACATCATTAGCGCGGATCAACTTTCAATAACGATATTGGAATATACGTGTACATTCATGGACATCAATGGACAATCAATAGCGCGTTTGTACATTTATATGCGCGGAATGTATTTTCTTGTGTGCGTAATTAAACTTCAATAACACGAATTGCCAAACAGTTGCGTTTATTGACAATCATTTACCTAAAAGTGAAAATTCATGCTATTAGCATAACCACTGACAATCTATAACGCGTTTTGAGCATCAATGTAGCATTCTTTAACGTAGTTCCAAAATTTTTTGCATGATTCAAATAAACATTAATTAAAATATTATTATCATAATATGCTCTTCAAAGCCAAAATTGGTTTATTTGATCAACATTCTCCTGCACAGTTCCCTGCACCATCTTGAAAGGTACCCGTGCCTTTGAATAGAAGCGAGATGAAGGGTAAGCTTGCAATGATAAAGATGTGAATAATTGTCCAAGGGTGTAAAAAATGATCTCTATCATTGCAAGCTCACCGTTTGTCTCGYTTCTATGCAAAGGCACGGCTACCTTTCAAAATAGCACAGGGGGCAGTGAAAGGGACTATTACTCTAAGTTATATGTCACTAAATTTTGAATTATGTACAATGTTATCCTTGTAAATGTTTCTTTGCTGCCAACTGTACTTTCTTGTCAAAATTGGCAGAAGTTATTTTGCTGTTGATCTCGTAAAATGGATTCATGATGACCTGTAGAAGTTGGACAAAGAGAAAGTTTTAATAATAATAATAATAATACAATATAAAAATAATAATAAATAATAATAATAACTATTATTATTATCATTATAAAACAAGTAGATAAAATATATATATATATATAATACTTTTGCATCAGAAATCATGATACCTCTTTTCCACAATCCATTTTTTTKGGGTGAAATATCGCTACTACTCTCCCCTATCACCATTATTTAATTAGTTACAAGGGTTTTAAATCTTATTATCACTATTGCAGYATAATAATGAATATATTATAATTTTACCTTAATAAATATTTCATAAACATCATTGAAAAAGTTTTTGATCCCATCTTCATTCTTTAAATCATGTAGCATCATAAATCTCATTCTTAAATGTTATTAAGGATAATATATACATAATGTATGTGCTCTTCAGCCCTCCCCCTATAGGAGAAGGAGAAAATAGGGCTAATCTTTCCCTTAGTGGAGGGAGGGGTGAGAAGCAGCAGTGGGTGATTTGCAAATGGTTGTTAATAGGATAGGGAAAGGGAGAGGTGGAAAGAGGRATTAATATTTGTTTACTTCCTTGCACATATTAAAATCTGTGTATTCTTTAGAAAAATATGTGAAAGGATATCTCCGGCGGTGACAAAGGCAGAAACAAACCATTCATTAAACTTGTCAACACTCTTCAAATACCTTTAGGAGAAAAAAAGGCGTTCATTAGCACAAATATAATGGAGGTTGCATGTACACAGATAGTACTTACATGTTGTTTGAACTCCACATCAACTCGTCGACGAGATCCAAAGCTGCATGAACAATAAATTGATTTAGATGTCGATGATCATCTTTCTGTGTAGAAGAAACATTAAAACAAGTAATAAGTACACAARAATTTATAAGCTACTGAATTGTTTTTACATGTACTGCTATCTTGTGTTTATGGACAACGAACACTCCTCAAATATTACCTTATATGATTGATCTCCTTGAGCTGAATCCAAAGATTTCATCTGTGGATTGAATTCTTTCTCGTACACTGGATTATCATGATGTCCTACGATAGCAAAATAGTAATTTCCAAACATCTTTAACATTGGTCAAACCTCTATTCTACCTTCCTCTCTCCATTACTAGTAATGTATCAGGCGTTACTGGTAGCAAATGAGAAAGACTAGGCTCGACAACTAACATCCGGATTGGAATAAATTCGTTTGTTGAAAGCTGCTAAATTTTCTGAAAACTAAACGCAAATGGAAGAAATATCAAGACATTTTTTCCCTATTTTAAAAGTTTCTCAATGCATTTTCATAAACCTAATRTGTTTCGGGAAATCACGAATTTCCTCGTCATACTATCGGCTTATTTTCGTATTAGTTTTTATTACGGAGCTTTGCCGAATATATATCGAAGGGCTTCGTTTTCCTTTCGGTTGGTGTTCGYGCTGAAGGCATCCCAGATTCCCATGATTCCTTGAGGTATATTTTCCACCAATGACATGTCTGCAAGAAGAGCTGTGGCGCGAGTAGTCAACTTTGCATTTTCTTGTCCAACCATCTTTTACCTTCAAAACTGCTTTTATTATCCCCATTTTCTGCATCATTAAAGCCAATTTCTTGTCAACAGCGTCGAGGAAATCTTAGTTTAAAAGGTAGGTTTTCGGTTATAATAGATGATTTTCTTTTTGGTTTGCTTGAAGGTGCATAAATTGTGTTTTCGCGGAATGAGGTTCCCTGGTTTTGCAGTTGTCGTAAACATTGTCTTGGTGTGCCGTAGATACGCGTTATATCCTTGTTGTCATGCGACGAAAACGATAAAAAATGCTTTGTTTTTTATTGCCATCGTGTAAGGGAATCCGTACTTTTATGTGATATAGGTTTCTTCGTTGGTTTTAGGATTCTTTTATGTAGTTTACTTAGTTTGTCTAAGCGTTAGGATTGACAGTTTTGACCGAAGATCTTGATCCCAGAACAAAATATACAAACCTCGTCCTCGCTTTAAATGAGATAACGGTGAAACTAAGATACAATGATACAAACTCGAGTGTTTCTTCTGAACGCTTATGACCAATATTTTTGACATCTGGATTGTACCATAACATTTYTATTTTTACACAATCCAGGCAGTTCAATATAAGCTTATCACCATTATTTCTGTTCATCATTTTAATGGTTTACGCGTGTTCATAGACCTTGACTGTTAATTTAATAAATAGGACTGTCCACTCATGCACATTTTATATGATGCAGTTGTACTTTGTACAAGTTTGCCATACATAATTTGTGTTTTTTACTTTTCTGTAATTAGAAAATCTGTTATCTTATGTATCTATTCTTGTGCTGGTAGGTTAGCTAGACAAAATAATTTTTGATTAGGTTTGTTTGGTAGTCAGGCAGTCCAGCGTGTAAGCAGAGAAGCCCCATTACCTCGAACCTTGGGTATCTTTGACTTCATTTCCCATGGACTTGCACCACTACAATTTTACCCAGGATATCTTGAACCCCCATTTTAAACCTTTCCCCTGGACGTTCAACATAATAGTACTTCTCTGTAAGCTAATAGTTGTTTTTCCTTTACTGAACTTGAATATTATGCTTTTGCTCTTTCAATATAAGGTACATAGTACCAGTAAGTGGTACTTTCAGGGGGCGATGGCATCTGGTGGTGGGTCTCCAGGTGGAAGGGATAGAAAGGTACCAAAGATGTCTTCCCAATCTGAACTGCGTACAAAGAAAAGACCAGTTCCAAGGTTCAATACCAGTTTTGATACCGAACTTAGTTTGAACACTGAGTTGAGAAGAGCAGAAGACAGCATGAATTACAGATCTCTACCTAATAATCTGGTATGTATATTTGTATTGTCAAGTTTTATATTAACAGCTGAGTGTATATAATCAAGTTTTATATTTGGACTCTAGGGGTGGTCTTTGGGAGCAAATGGTTATATGCCAGAAAGAGGTACCAGCAGTGGTGGTCAAAGAAAAAGCAAACATTTTGAACAGGTTAAACTCCAAGAAAYTACAGCCAGTCCTGAATCACCCCAGCCAGTTGAATTCAAAAGAAAGAAACATCATACTCCTGCAACGATACCTCGTACAAAGCTACCTGCAGGCACCCCTGTTGCTGAACGACTTGCACTGGAAAGACTCCGGCAACATCTTGCTTTTGGAGAAGATGAGGTCAGTGGTAAACTTCAGCACATCTTTTTTTAGTTGCTATTCCTGCAATGAGTGGACTAAGTAGTAAAATGTTTATAAATTATTCATTGTCTTACAAGGCACCTGGTTTATATAGAGCAGTTTTCATATGACTGGGAAAAACTGGGTGCCATATGGATGCCTCGCTGCAACTCTAATGTTTTTTAGAATTTTGATTGGGTTATTTTTTCTTGCACAATATGATTGGTCTAGCATTGCTGTGACCTTGGTGTTACCATTTCCGAGCCATGTTCATGCCATGTTTTATGCTGGTATTGGTTGGCGAGTAAATTCCCGTACAATGCCATCGGTACGGCGTATACCTTGTAAGCTTTTCAGTCAGTCTGCTTTATACCATCGGATGGTTCATCTTGATTGACTACATTTATTTTGAAAAGCCTTGCCTGCTAAACTCCAATTTGATATGTGAATTAGCCATGCCCTGACTTTGATCAGCCTAGGGAATGTATTAAAGTTTTGATAAAATTTGAAGGTTTATTTGAAGGATGAAATTGAAAATAAAGATTGCAACTTATAATAATCTTGTGGGGTAAGTTGAACATGACACTTTTCTTGTAGCTACCTAGTCGAGGCCCCAGTACAAGGGGTTCACAAGATGTTGTGACACTGCCAAGCCAAAGCTCTGCAGCTAATAATGAGCGAGCCCAGCTGTTAGCAAGACCAGGGGGTACCTTCCAGATCCCTGTGAGGGAAACTAATGAGACAGATACCACTCTTGCTGTTGGTGGTGCTGATGAAAGTGCTGGTGAACAGGTTGGTTTAATTGATGTATTAAAAAGGACTTGCTTTAGGATTTAAGACTATTATTGCTGAAATGATATTTGTAATGTTTTTACAGGTTGATACATCTAAAATCCTTGAAAGGCTAAAACAAGTCAGGGTAAGCCATACAGAATTTTTATGTTTAACTCTTAATGAATAGTCTCTTGCCATATCACAAGCTGGAAAAACATCTTGTTCATATAGTGTATACACTTTTTCTTCAGGACTTCCTCAAACAAGCAACTACAATGTTTGTATCTATGAGCACAGGGGGATCTGACGAACAGAGAGTAAGTAATAGTATTTTTACACAAGTTACAAAAATGTTGAATTTTGACATATTAGTTTTTATTTTTGTTTTTTGCAAAACATAATCTGAAAATAACCACCAATGTTTGTTAAAACCAACCATGCTGTTATTTTAACAATATGTAAATTGTCTTTGTTAGACTAGAGATTTTGAGCAAGCAGCAAAACTAGCCAGGCTAATCAAACATCTTAAGAAACAAGAGAGGGCTTATACTAGCCTCTTGCAGAGATCAATAGTAAGTATAAGCTCTAACATTATTTTTTAGAAACTGAAAAAGTTCTGAAGCTTACTATTTTGATTTTATTCAGGCTGTAGAAGATGACTCAGCTACAGAAAACACTCCTTCCTTAAGTCTACATTCATTTTCTGAAGATGAGAAGGTAGGGGATACTTTTTTGTGAGAAACGATTGTTTTTTCATCATATACACTACATGTTACTGTATATCACTATCATTCTTGACTTTTAAGGTCACTTTGACTCTCCTAGCAGAGAGAAAATATATTCTCATAATGGAAGACACTGTTAGCAGGGAAATATAATTATAAGACTAGGGTAGTATGGCATCTTCACTAAGCATCGGATTTACTGCATAGGAGCTGTAGTGTTCTCGTAACTTGTAAAATGCATGACATATTTAATGTTTATGAGCTGAATTAATTCGTAGAGTGAAACTCATTCTGCACGTGATGAAGAACTTCAAGGATTACGACAGCAGCATGAATTACTCCAGAAAATGCTTCAACAGCAAAAGCAAGTAAGGATGTTGTTCCCTCTTTCCATATCAAAACAAAGAAGAAGTCTTAGGTCTCAATCATGTGTTAATGGTTTCAGCTCAAAGAACTGCAAACAAGACAAGCTGCTTTACTTAATCTACAACGTGATGCTGAACAAAGACTTGCTGAAGCTGAAGAAGAGGTATGACAAAGTGACAGTACGGTTTTCTTTCCTTGTGGATATTGAGGTTTTTATCTAACAAGATCTATGATTTATCTAAAGGATGAACAGACAGCTGAAGGAATGGAGGAGGATGCCATTGGAGGTGGTGGATATGATACCACTAGTGGTAGGAGCAGGAGTGGTACAGAAGCATCAGCGGCCACGGCTGAGGTAATGCTTCTGAAATATTCATTTAATCTCACGAGATGAAAATTATAGCACTGAAGTTCATTGTGTCTCATTATGCACTAATTGCTGATCTCAAATCGGTCCTCTCAAATCTGCATAACGATTACCACTATATTCCAAATCATGTGTGTTCATTCATTCATTTCTTACCCATTCTATTCATTCATTCATTTTTTACCCATTCTGTTCATCCTCTTCTCTGGGTGTCTTTCAGTTTTTCCTCTATTGATTGTTTTCTCAGGGAAGTACTGATGATTGGGGATTTACACCAGAGCAATTTGCTCTACATAACTTTATGCAAAGAACTAATGAAAAGGTAGCAAAAGCAGTAACTGTTGCAGTGTTACAGGTTCATGAAGTTTGTTTTTGATAGTGTTTAATAATTAATTCATTAGCTATATTGGTGTAAGTTGAGCTAACAAAGTGTTGCTATAGTAACAGTATGCCGTTTATTGATCATAGTTTAGGGCTGATGGTGACAAAGACAGGGATGAGGGAAACCAAAGAAGAAGAAAGAAAAATCAACAGGTTATGACCCAAGATTTTGCTCAATATATTATTCCAGCAAGGAAATAAGTAAAAATATCATATGGCAGACAAATCATTAGCCCATTGAATCATCTGTATACATTCATATTTACATCACATCTTATATCTTGTTATCACTATTCAATTATTGTAGGTTGTTAGGGCTGAACATGGTCCAAGTATGGATCTTCAGTCTTCTTCTGATGTTCAACCTGACAATGAGGTGTGTTATTACAATTCGTGTACTTGAGCTTTTTTATGATGGTAATGATCGCTTTCCCCACACATTTACCACATTGTTTGTCATGTAGGAAGCAGCCTTGGCAATTGCCGATGCAGCACAAGAGAGACTGGAGCTTGAAAATAAGCTCATGGCACTTCAGGCCAAGAAAGAACAAATGGATTCTCTTCTAAGAGAGCTACAACAACTGAGAGAGGCCCAGCTTAGAAAAGGTATTTCATATACGTTATTGACTAAATAATAAGGGAGTTGTGTCAGGCCAAATCAGTCTGTAACCGGATATTATTTCATGCTTTTATCTTTCTTGGTAAACACGATCATTAGAAGGAAGAAAGCCTCAAGGTTCAAGCATTAATGAAGCAAAACAGGACAATGACGATGAGAAGCCTCTTGCAACAACTTCTCAAAAACTAGATGATGACAGCATACTGGAAGCCTTGGAAGTCCATGAAAAACTAAAGTATGTCTCAAGAAGCCTTCTCTCTTCTCTTAATGACTAATGAAAGGTTTTACGGTGAATGTAAATAATTTTCTTCTATTAACAGAAAACTACAAGATGTTAGGCAACATCTAAAACAGCTGAGAGATATGATTGGCCATTACCAGGTAACCTTAAATGGGTTTATATTGTGCTCAAAAGGGTGATGCATTGAACTGTCGCTGCATTGTAATAACATAGCCTTGATATATTTTTTATTCTATAGCCCATGCCCATAATACAACTTGGGCTACCTGTGGTTAGATGGCCGAACAATAAATCCCTTTGCACTTGTCAATTGAGTTCTTCCTCATGTACAACAATTGTATTGTTCCTGCAATCTAACATGGCTGCCCTCACGTGATGGTGCAAAGCCTCTATTGCATCCCTCTTGCATAACCCAGCCCAATGCATATTGTTTAATTAGATGATGGTGAGGTGTCGGTAGGGTGTCAGTAAATTATTGGTCGATAACTTAGAGGTAAGGTGTCGACCAACCACTTACTGACACCTTACCTTATGGTGTGGATTGATTACAATRGCCATTTTAAAAAGCTGTGTCCCAATTTTGCCCCAGGAATCAGCAGGGACAGGAGGTGAYCTGAACCTACAAGATGGACCAGGTATGTTAGCAGAAGACAGTGCCCCTGAGTCAGGAAGGGCAGATGAAACAGAAGAAGAGAGAGGGGCAGTAGGAGGTGCTGGATCATCTGCTACTGGCCCAGATAATTCATCATTGGATTGGATATTGAACTATGGTATTGATGACCCAGAACTTGTTAGCAAGCTAAGGTAGAACAGAAGACTCCTATCCTATTATACTCTTAACATTGCATTACAAGTTGTCATATTGTTATCTGTTGTATTAGTAATCCTTTGCAGTATGCCATCTACTCAGGGCCAAAAACCACCAGTAAATAAAGAATAAAATAAATCTTTTTATTTATACACGGTATGCATTAAAGCTAGAAGCTTGTGTGGCCGTGTATCCTCCATACACACTCCTTACTACATTAGAATACTCTATACACACAACTCTCAACTCAACAGTCAGTTACCAATCGGTTACCAGTCATGATGAACAGCCAAATTAGTTTTAGCTCGGTCATACTTGTTTCTGGATCAATGTTACTAGTAAAAATAACCAGTATCCTAAAGAATGAACCAGCCACTATTTTAAGCCCTGGTACTATTTTATTTTTTAGGCAGTTGCATGCTGCAAGAGAAAGAGTTTTACATCTCAAGCAGACCAACCAAATGGCTCAGGTCTGTAGAAAACATTATCTCTGATATTAATAATTTATTGTAGTGACTAAGGAGTTGACATTTGAATAAGAAACTATTATCATATTGCTATTCTTGTACAAAAGCTGATTTTTTTTGTTATTATTCTTTTAGTTGCCTGTTGGAACATCAAGACTTCATAATGAGACAAGCAACCCCCAGCTATCACAGAGTCAAACAGAAGATTTGGAGACAGACGGCACAACTACTGACACAGAAAGCAATGCTAGCCATGCCAGTTCAAGTTTAAATGCATTAGCTTGGCAGGAAGATCCTGAATTCCAGGAAAAAATCACGTAGGAGAAAATTTTGAAATAAGACTTTGCTATTGAGTTACTTGATATTAATAATTGTATTATTATTTTATTTTATTTTGATCTAGCAAACTGAACTCTGCCAAAAAGAAGTTAAAGCAGTTACAGGAACTTGTAAAAAGGGTACAACAGGTATATTCACCATGTGCTATTGAGAACAACTTTAAATGTGTCATCTGTGTGGCTGTACAGAGTAGCTCTTTCAGATCAGCTCATTCTTATGGCTTTTAAGCCACAAAAGATGCTCTAAAATGGTAGAATGAGATAATATTTGCCCCTATATTAGTAATCAGGACAAATCTTGTGCTAAGATTGAAGATGGAACATTTGGTACTTAATTTACTCATTTTTCTCATTTATTCCTTTTCTCTTGCTAGTTTCCTGATGGTGCACCAGTATTGCCTACTGAACTTGCTGAGTTAAGCTTTGATGAAGTGGATGATGATGATGAGGATGAAGACACAGAACAGTCAAGTAGCAGCTCTGATGAAGAACAAGATGAAGATGATGATGAACAAGCAGTTGAAAGAAACTCAGGTGTGGAAGATGAAGATGAAGATGGACAGTCTTCAGACAGGATACAAAACCTGCAGGGCATTGTTGGTGAGATATTTGTCATCCTCTGTTACATTTACATCCTGTGTATTTATACAGTCCTTTGACTGAACGTTGTCATTTGATCGGCTTCATCCCTACGCGTCTAGACCGAAAAGGATCATGGGGATAATTAATTCACAGTTACTAGCTGCCGCATATGTTATCTAACACGTCTTGAGCTCGCTTTTTTCGATACCATTTAATTTGCTAAAACCATGCCTCGAGCATACAGTGAAGATTCAAACTGGCAAGCAGTTTGGATGACTCAAGTTCTGGTTAACTTACCCGTTATTATGTTTTTCCGTTTATGTTTAGTGAGTGAGCAAGAGGCAGAGTATCAACTGCGACTGCAGAAACAGAAGAATGAGTTAGACAGACTGCTTGAAGAGCGCCGCAGACTCCTACAAATGCAACAGCAATTGAGTAGATTAACACAAGAACAAAACGAAGCCCAGAAAGCCCCAGCCATGAATGAAAATGGCAGCCGTGTAAGTATAACCAYTGCAAAACCTCATTTACCTTATATATATATACAGGTATAACAGATTAAGATTTAATATTGTGAGCTCTATTAATTCCTAGGCTTCAGCTGAAATCCCAGCAAAGAATCCCAGTAAAGCCAGAACCAGTAATTCTGGATCTCCAAGTCTTATAAGAACAGATACATTCACAGTGAACAGGCCAAACATACCTGTTAGACATGTCAGTGATAGTGCTACTCAAACTCAATCCATTGAACAGCCTCTAAGGACATTAAAGTCTAATAAATCATACTCTGTGGACTCTGGAGAACCTCCCCAAGGTAAGGCAAAACAAGGCCTAGAATTGGATTATTACTCAAATAATATAATAATAACTGATATGTGCGAGCATCGTACACACCCTTAGCGTTATAACTATACTTATAAACTTACATTTTTTATCCATCACTCTCTGTTAGGGGCTCTTYTGTGAGGTTCACTCTACCCACACAACCACTACTTTCAATATTAGAAGCATTGCAATACGTACCCCTAAGGATATTTGCATATAAAGCTAGATATGTTATTATTGGGAGATTAATTTCAGTTGGTTTAATAAAAAGGTCACATTCGTATTTCCAGGGGGGACAACATCAAGTGCTTTGGTGTGGTCAGAACTCCGACGACAGAGAGAACTCCATGAGGAAAAGCTAAAGAAACGTAAACACCGTCTTTTAAATGAGAAGCGGAAGAAAGCAGGGCTTGATGATGTATCAGAGGGGGGTGCATACTCATTACGAAGTGCAGATGTCGATGAAGGGTTTGGTGTTAGTATGATGAGTGCTGATATTACCACAGCCACATGGGGTGGTTCTACACAGCCTAGTAGTACGCAGAACGATTCAGCTGTCTCTGAAGATGAATCAGAAGGGGAAAATCAAGAAGGCGAGGTAGGCAATAATTGATGTACACTATGTGGTCACCCTGGACCAGTTAGTAAACTGGAAAATGGCCAGGAAAGTGTTTTTGTCTAGGTCTTCTTTCCCTCATGCATCCATGTGTCATCCATCATTTTTTATGTGAAACCCACCTTTTTCATAGAGGGTCTTCTTTAAGATATTCTTGGGGTGATCACCTTGGTACGCAAAATTTCTCAACCCATGAACAAGAACTGTTGCTTGCCAATCCTTAGGTCGTCTGTGTAAGAGGCTACTGTTTCATAGCCAGAAATTTCTTCTCTTGTGAATAGGGACAAAATCAATGAACAATTTAGTTCTCATTTTCCACATCAATTGGTATCCATTATTGTTGATTTTCTGATGTACTGTATTTGTGTTCTACTTAAAGATTGCAGTTGAAGTTGAAGATGACTACCCTGATGGTATTGTTCAGGCTGAGGAGGAAGAAGAAGAAAGAGATGAACAAGATACTTATCCAGGAGGAGCAGCTGATGTTTTTAGAAGTCGAGAATGCGCTCCAAGAAACTATGGCATTGGACAAGTATTATTAGAGAAGAAACGTGAGAAATCAGTGTTGAACTTTATTTTCTCTAAGTACCTTTTCTCCTTTTTAAGGAAGCTAGCATAAAGAAGAAGTGTTATGAACTATATGTGGGTTCCTATCCCATCGGCAATCAACTTTTCATAAAAATAAAAATAATTGCCAAATCTTTCCACTACTTCACTTGATGCATCTCTGTAAAAAAAAGGGAGGAAATGCTGAGACGGTTCGCTTAGACTTGTTTTTAGACATGTTTTTCTGATGTTTGTGTGGGTGGTTTTGTAGGAAGCAGAGGAGCAAGAAAAAAAGAACTTTCTTGGCCCAGGATTGGTTCAGATAGAAGTCCAAGACAAAGATTAAGGCAACAGGTACAATAAATAACACAGCTATTAAAAATTCAAAACTATATAATTACTAGAAAGTGACAAATGGCTCACTATTTATGTCTTCTTGGTTTACAGAACTTCACCCCAGCTGAACAGCTAATAGAGGAACGAGAAAGAGAACAGTTTATCCTTGAAAGAGAAGCCTGGGAACAACAGTGTGGCCAACTACATGGGGAAGTGGCCAAGCTGACTGATATGTGTAATAATCTGCTCAGAGATCAACAGTCTCTCATTACAGCTCTGATTGGACGGAATAACCTAGGTGCTGGTCCACAGATGACTCCTGGACCAATGCCTGCTGCGGTAAATGGTAAGGGAATAGATGATGATAAGCATTTTGTTATGATTATATATTGTATTAGATGAAAACGAGAAAGAAGTTGGTGATGAGAATAACATTGACCACAATGATGTTGCCGATGATGATAATGAATGTGGTGATGGTCATGCCAGTGATGCTGGTGGTGGTCATACTGTAAAGCTRCTGCTGATGATTTTGCTGATGATGGTGATGGTATATTATGATTATTTGCTGGAATTTATGATGTTAATTATTGGTGATGGTGATAATGATAATTTCCTGCAGTTGATGTGGTTTTGGTGATGGTGGTGTTGGTGTTGGTGATGGTGATGGTGGTGTTGGTGATGGTGGTGTTGGTGATGGTGATGGTAGTGTT